GGGCCACTGCTTTGTTGGGGTCTTTTTTGTTTTTTTTTAGCCACAAGAGTGGATACTGCCCTTGGCATTTGTCAGGGCACATTTGGAATACTGTGTCTGGTTTTGGTCCCCCAGTACAAGAAAGATGTCAGTAAACCATCGTGAGCTCAGCACAGGGCCACCATGAGGTCAGATGGCCGGTGCACTCGTGCTGTGAGGAGAGGAATAAAATGAGCTTGCTCAGCCTGAAGAAGGCTTTGAGGAAATCTTTCCAGTACCTGCAAGAAGTCAGGCTCTTTACTCAGAGGTGATGGCAGAAGAACGAGACTTCACGGTCATAAATCGAAACTGGAGGTTCAGACTGGTTATAAGGAAAAACTTTTCCCCTGAGGACACTCTGGCAGTGCAGCAGGTTGCCCAGAGAAATTGTGCAGTTTCCGTCCTCAGAGGTTTTCAAGACCTGACTGGACAAAGCCCAGAGCAGCCTGGGGCTGCTGACCCCGTGCTCGGAGGAGGTGCAGTCCCTTCTTTCCCACCCTAACAATCTGTGATTCAGTCACAGGGCTGAACATTATCATGCCCAGAAGGCTCTTCGCTGTTCTGCATGGCCTGTTTGCTTACTCCCAGAGCAGTTACTAAAAAGCACATGGTTCAGAATCTCCCTGACTAACCTCTGCCACAGCTGCCAGTGAGAAGCCAAAGGCTTTCCGGGTGGAAAACCTTGCCGTGGAGAGGCAGCTGCTACGGGACTCCTAAGCCAGATGCCGTGGGGCGGAAGCTGCCCTGCTCTGTCTCACGCTGCGCCTGCTCTGGGCGAGCAGCAGTACTTGCACGGGCCACGAATCTGAACACTGTTCAGCCATCGCCACAATCCTTACGAAACGCTACAATGGAGGCAAGAACTGGAAAAGCAGGAACAGGAAATGTATTTATGGCAAGCGAACTGGCAGGCTCTAACATCTCCACAAAGATTTAATTTTAAGCAGACAAACCCATTTGAGACGTCTGCCTTGATTTAACAAAACTAATGTTTCCTTCACAGTATGTATCCAGATAAGGATATGACTGCACAGGCAAATTTCAGTTTTGGGTTTCCCCACTTGTATTTCACTAAAGTAATTTAAACTGGCAGTCAAAACAAGCTGGACAAACTTTGAAATATTTACATGATTTAAATGGAGATGACAGATCTTTTTGTTAATTCTGTTCACTCCTGAATCCAACTAGGTTTTGTTTATATATTCTTCCTTTTATTTTTGGATTACCAAACGACTGCAGTTGGCCACAGAATAGAAAGTCACGATTTAAAACCTAGTTTTCAGTCCATGTGCAACATTAATTGCGTATTTGCATTATCTTTAACATGACACTTAGGCCTTTTCAGGTCAAAACAACAACTGTGACTCTCCGCAGTTCTCAGTAATGTACTCATTACTGCAAACTCAGGTTGGTGCTTAGAAGATGCACATATCTTTTTTTTTTTTTTAAAATCATCAGATTCTGCAAGCTAAATGTTAATTTCAATGACTGCTGTGCCTTTGGGTGCTCTGTATGTACATAGTTTAGGAACTGCCGCAGCCTCAGGAACGAATCTGGACAACGACAAAGAGAGTACGAAGCTGCAGCTCGGCCTTCATCTGCCTTCGCTGGCTTGACCCACCCTAGCTGATAAAACCAGAAAGGAAAGGGAACTTGAGTTCCCGTGACTGAAACCAGACAAGCGCTTTGAAAGAACTTCGTTGTATATTGGCATTTTCAGAGCAAAAGCATGTGCTTCATTAACATGGGCAGTAATTTAAGTTACTGTATGTGGCAGCAGGATCTGGAGCTGGCAGCGGTCCGGGCTGGATTCCGCGCTGGGGAACAGCAGAAGCAGAGAAGCAGCAGAGAAATTTTCTTCCTCGTTCCTGCCCCCCC